CTCGTAATGTACACTGGTAGTTGGGTATCTACACACCAAGAATGACTCTACTTAAAAACCTCAACCGGCATATGCATCACCATCACTACCAGACATCTCAACCACCCCGCCTCTTGCTAGGTATAGACATCCCATCCTATGTAAGTAGTATGCATCTGCGCGCGTGTATATGTGTGCCGCAGTATGCGTGCAGTCGTACTTGGCGTAAAGTGGGGACAACTCTAGTCCAACTCTAGTCCAACTCTAGTCCAAGTGTTAATCTGGGGACAATACGGCATTGGCATTTGCTTGGTGGTGACATCTACCTAGTCTGCAGCATCTCTGACCCTTGCTGGCCCTTCCAGTGTCTCTCCATGTACCTAGGCCAAGCCCGCCCCTCCTCCCAACTCAATCTCTCTTGTTCTTTCTTCTTTTCCTGCTGGCGTCGTGCAGCGAGTGGGGTGGGGGCAGGGAGGCGTACAGAGTGTTTAGCACATGAATGATTACTTGATTGCTGCTTGGTTTTGGTCTAGAACCTTGGGAATTGGGAAGTCGTGGTAGGAGGTGCCGGGGCGTTGATGTAGGCGGGGGAAATTCCCGCGACTCCGTGGGAGATGGGGAAGGGGGGGGTTGCTGTTTGGGATGTGGGAGGGATGTTGGGAGGGATGTTAGGTGTGGATGGTTGGGCTGCATGTACCCAGGCTTTTCTGTTTTACAATATACAGACAGGCCGTAGGAGTTTTTTCGGCGTGCGGGAATCAGGAACGAAAGGTTGTCGTTGACAGGACCGCGGAGCAAGGAAGGACCCCTGCTTGGATAGAGTCAAGCCACAGACGCATCCATCCATTCATCCATCCATCCATCCATCCATCCATACCCAACTAAAAGGTTGCAGATAGAGTAGATAGCACACAACAAAAAAGTGCAAAGATCTAGCACGCGACAAAAAAGTGCAGAGATCCAGCATATCAGAAAACCCCATTGTCACGCCCTGTTGCTCAATTCACCCGCACTCTGTTTTCTTTCCACATGAATCAATCATCGTCTCTACCCACTGTGAACTAACTCCTCCCCTCTCCATATCAACCCCTCTTCACAACACTAGAACCTCACCAACACCAGCTAAACTCACACACCATCACCCATCCCATCTCGCACTCCAACACAGCTCGTAAAATCCAAAACAGCCCCTCAGACAGTGATAATGATCAATGGAAGCCATGAATACTGGCTTTGGGGGAAGGAAAATTGTGGGATTAAAGTACCCCCATG